AATTTACAGGGTTCCTAGGAGACTTAAGAGTGGGATTTATACAGAGCATATGGTCTAGTATGTACGGGGTGCCAATGAAAGTTACCCTCCTTTGGGCTTTTGCTACTAGAAAGCTCAGAACAAATTGCAGTTTGAAAGTTACCAGCCTGCATATTTAGATTACTTTTTAATATAATGCAATTACATTTTAATCCAACCTGGTCTTGATCTTGTCTTCATTTATGTGTTCCCGATCTTGATTATTTATTTCTCTTATTACTGTTTTACTGTAAGTACTTTTATTGGATATGTTCCCAAATTCTCTGCAGAGCTAGATGGATAGAATCAAACTGATGTCAGGAGAAACGGATCCTTAATAAGACTCTGCAAATGCCTCTGTGATTGGGGCATGGAGTCTCTCTCAACCTCAGTTTCCTTGTCCGTAGAATGGGAGTAATAAAAAACCTACAAGCTATCTTATGGTGCACGAATAAGGATCTTTGGCTCCAGCATTTTGCAAAAGCACTTTTGTAAACTATGAAAAACTTAGTAGAAACACTTGTTATATGTGAGACACTACTTTATACATGCCTCAGAATGCAAACAGTGTATGTCCTCCCTGTAAGGGACAAGGGGTTAGTGATTTCCTTAGAATAGATAACATCTAAGGAAGGACCAGGTGAGAATGACCGCATGAAGCCACCACATGTCTATTCCACACCCCCGGCGTTAGGCTGCTTGAGGCCAGGACCCCCGGGTTCCAAGGAATAACAGCTAGGCTCTTATCTTTGCTCTAACCGGTTCCTGGAAGCCTGAGTGGACACATATGCCAGACCACCATCTTCATCATATGCCAGACCCCCCAGACCCCAAAAAAGACCAGACTCCCTCCTTTCCTTTCTGAGTCTCCCAGACACTCTGTACCTTCACTGTCTTTATACCTTCGATAAACTCTGCTTTCACCTCCTGCTGGCTTGTGTTTGGTTTCTAGCCTGTGCACAGCCAGGACCTCTTGGCTGCTCCTGCGGGAACCCCTCTGGGTCCTCGGACCTGGCCCGCCAGCATCACTATCACAGAAATTCAACAGGGATTTGTTTTGAAGCACTTTGATTTGGACTGAAAATGAACACAGAGACAATGACACTATGAACAAAAGATAAAGAAGACAATGTAAGCATGGATATAAAAAGACACCATCAGAAGGAAGACCCGGAAAATTATCCCAGTGGGTGAAAGATCTCAGGAAAAAAAAAAAATAACAATCAGGTACACAGGGCAAGAAGATCAAAATGAGATTACTTAATAAAAGCCAGCATTTCTTCAAACCAAAGACAATGTACATTGTTTGTCCTTGAAATGTGATGTACACTCCTTTCTCAAGAATGCTGCACCAAAGCCAGGCCCAGCGCTGACAGAGCCCTATCACCCTTGCAGCCCAGAGGTCATTGTTCCCATACAAAATCCAGAGGCTTGTCTGAACCGCTGCTGCACAATTTAGCAGTCATTTGGAATAGAAAGCCCCAGAAAATCAACGTATGCAGGGAGATGCGGAGTTTAAATTAGGCAAGAGCCCACCTGTTCAATAATGAAATAATTGCTCAGGGCCCATTCTTCTGTAATCTTTTCTGATGAGACATGTATTCTTGGGCTCTGCCTTTCTCAGTGCTTCCTCGACATTTGCAATCATCTCAGGGCCTCCTAAAACTGATGCAGAAGCCAGGCAGTCAATTCCCTAATGCCGCGAAAATAGATTCAATTTTACATACATCAGGGTGATTTCAGAAGCAATTTCTACATCTCTAGTGTAAGCATTACTTACATTTTTCCCCCTCAAATCTCATCCCAGCGGTTCCACAGGACATTTTAAAAGGTACGTGATGCATTCCAGGGCATTAAAAAGAATCCCCAGGGCGTGTTTGTGGCTGTAGCCTGAGGACACCAGATGCACAGATAGAGCCCTAAAATATTCAGTGACTCAAACAAATGCAAAATTTCTTAATAATTGAGTATAATGCCAATTGAATTTTTTTCCTGTCTTTCTAAAAGCAGTATCATTAAAATGTATATGCAGGTATGTCTGTGTATATATGTGTTGGCCTGTGTACATACGGGTATGTCTGTGTGTGTATGTATATTAATCACACACACATATCAATCATTTGGAAATATTGTCTCTCTTTACATTGAAGATGTCTAATTTGATTCTACTGGATAGCTTTCCTCTTCCCCCCTGGCTGGCTAATCTACCTGGGTCTTGGGTGTTTTCCTCTTAAGAGCCTAAGTTTTAGCCCATGGGGAAAACAGTGGTGATGTTTCCCCCTTGAAATCCAAAAAATTGGTGTTAACCAGGTTTTCACTTGAGATCAGAAAGCTTAAGATCAAAGACCTATAATTTTGAGGTCATGTATCTCTATAATATTTTTGTCATTCAGTCTTCCCAGCGCATTTTTACAAATGGAAAAAAGTGTGCCCAAGAATCTGGCCTAGCCAGGAAAGGTTTTGGGTGAATGGGTATCACTTGGCCAGGATATTCTATCAGCTAGACTCGCTACTGAACTTCCTGGCCCTTGGGCCAAAAGCAGGAGAATCTGTGACAGGTTAATCCAGGCAGAGATTCTCAGGGAGCTCTGGATGGACCTTTCTGTAAGGACACACCGAGCCCACTTCCCTGTCAACTCCCTGTCTGCCTCTCCTGGACGCCTATGACACTCTCCCCTTTTCCCCTTCCTGAGGGAAGGTATGAATCCCTGTGATTCATCTGCATTGAGAAAGGAAAGAGGACTGGCTTCGTGGGTAGGCAGACTATAACTTGCTCTGCTCTCTGAGGAAAACGGAAGTTAAATATTTGCTCATGAAATAATCAGTATGCAATGTTAGATTTTATCTTTAAAGCCATTACACAATCTTAAGAGGTGCGCAGACTTAGCGTGGCCAACAACAGGCAATGGGATAGCGTTTGTCTGCTGATACAATGCAAAGGGGGGTATATGATACCACCTAGGTCAAATTTTTGCCAACATGTTGACTTGAATGTGATCATGATGAAAAAAAATCAGATTAATCTGGATTGTGCCACAACCTATGGGACCACTGGCCTAGACTTTTTAGAAAAGATGTCAGCAGCCTGAAAGAAAAAATAAAGGAGGGAGGGCCATTCTAGGTGAAAGGTGATGGAGAGACATGATGACCAAATATAACGTGAACAACTTGACGGGACCCTGGATTAAAACAACAACAACAACAACAACTTGGGGGCCACTGAGGAAATTCAACTGTAGACGGTATATTAGATACTGAAATAAGGTTACATTTCTTGGGTAAGATAATTTCATAGTGGTTATGCTGAAGTGCTGTCCTAGTTCTTAGGAAGCACATGCTGAATTCTCTGGAGATAGAGTGTCATGATGTCTGCAACCTATTTCTAAATGGTTCAGAAAATTATCTATCTATCTATCTATCTATCTATCTATCTATCTCTCTATCTATCTATCTCTCTATCTATCTCTCTATCTCTCTATCTATCTATCTACTAGATAGATATATATATAGATAGATACACACACACACACGGAGAGAGAGTACATGTGAATAATTGGTGAGTCTAGGTACAAGGTATAGGAGTATTCATTTTACTATTTTTTCAACCTTTTTATAGGTGTAAAAACTAATTTCTTTCCTAAGGCAGCATGTCAATATTTGAAAACGGCTATTGCTTCCCTCAAAGTTCAGGGTTCTTAACCAGTGTGTCTCTAAGAACCATCTAAATGGCTTTCACAAAATCCACATCCTACCTTACCCCTCATCTCCCTCCCCCTCCTTCTCTCAGGATATTTCGATTTAGTTGGTAAGGTACACAGCCTACATATGTGTTCTTTGAAAACTTTCTCAGATGGGTTCTGTGCTGCACATGAGGTTTGCAATCATGGGTCTGAGTTACCCTCAGAACCTGGATCCATCGGGAATTAGCTAGGTCACTCTGAGAAGGTCAGCCAAATGCATGGAACTTTGGATGCCTTATCTACAAAAGGGGATGAATCATACAAAGTATCTTACAGGACATGGAGAGGACAAAGATGGTCAATAAATATTTGTTTCCTTTCTTTCTTCACTTTCTCATGGGCTCTCACCACCCCAAATTGATCATATCTATGTGATTTTTATACATTATGGTTTCTTCCACTCGCCATTGATGCAGTGTGTGGAGGACATTTGTCTATGCTCATAGTCCTTTAAAGTTTCTGAATTCCCCAATCTGGGGCAGAGGCTGGGGGATCCAGCATTTCTATTAAAGCCAGGAAAAAGACTGGCTTAAAGAAAGATGAGAACAAAATTTAGCTCTCTTGAGTGGCTTTAAATGTTGCCAGTCCTATGGTTCTCCTTTGGACTAGGGTTAGTCCTGAAATCTTAGCCACTTCTGTCAGCTTGGGATCCTGTATCCACTCTGAATGAGGGCTCAGGGGCTCCTGACTGAACAGCGCTTGGAAACACTGGCTTCACAGTGGACCTGGCCAGGCTTGGAAGGCCTGGCTTCCAGGTCTGGATATGTTACTCAACAGCCCTGGGACATTGGAGAACTTGCTTCTCTGAGCCTCAGTTTCCTAAGCACTTAAAACAGAGACAGTAATAATCCATGATGCACCTACCTTACATAGTTTATGTGAAACACTGTTTTGAAAACTGTAAGACACTTGATTCAGTGTGGCATGTTTTTCTCCTTATGGGCATAACCATGTCCTCTTTTTTAAAAAAATATTATTAATTTTGTGAACAAGTAGTTAAGATGGCCTGCCCCCACTTCTACCTGCTTTGGGGGACAGTCTTAAATTCTCCTTTTCCCTCAAGATGGGCTGCCCCAAGTCTCTGCCAGGGAGAACCTTCTTGGAACATCCTTGGGAACATCCCAGGGAAGCATCCTGAGCTCATGCCCTATAGCATCTGACCACTGTGAGGGGTCCACAGCAGAGGTACCAGGGTCAAGCTGGACCATGGGCATTCCCTTCCCCTTAGTTGACTCAACTTACTGAATCCATTAACGTCCTGAGAGCTAGAGGAGAAGCCTTCATCATTGCGGCTGGTGCTGAGCTTGGTGGTAGGTTTGTCGGCTGAGGCCACAGGCCCCATCTCCCTCTGGGCTCCACTCTGTGTCTCCTTCTGCTTCTTGGCCAGCTTCCTTTGGGACATGTGCAAGGGGAAAAAAATCACAGTCAGATGGTCTCAGTTGTATTAAAGCATTGGGAAGACCAGATTGCTCTTCTTCCCCACTCATCATCCTCAACCCCCAAACCTGGATCATTCTCCAGAAACAGTCATGGTGGGTCCTTCAGTGCCAAGGTGGAATAAGCCTAAGACCTCCTGAAATCATTAATGGCTTTCCTTTACTCAGAAATTTGAGACTTATCCTGGCTCATCTCCAACAATAGGTATGTTCTTTACTTGAGCTTAAAAAGGGAAATCAATGAGACTTGGCATGATGCTTCCCTTGCTCTCCTTCCAAAGGGGGGAAGAGGCCAGATTGATCTTTCTGTTCCCAAGGCTCTGAATGAGATTCACAATGGAGTCTGACGTTTTCAGGGACTAAGATTACAAAATAACACACCAAACAATGGTAGACTGAAGTAGGGGCTGTTGGTTGGTGAAGGGTGAGGGTGGGGGTAGTTAGTATTGTAGCTCAAAGGAGAACACTGAAAGCTGAACTGGATGCCTAACTATTCTCATAGGAATAAAAGACCCTCAGAACCAGATGGTGTTTATAATAATACTAGTTTAAAGCAGTGGTTCCCAAACTCTAATGGAAATTAGAATCATTTCAAGAGCTGATAAAAGCACACAAAGGCCCTGGCTCATGAAGGCAGGGCAGGGCGAGGTCAATGTGTGGCCATCTAGTTCCCCAGGTCATTCTGACATCATCACTGGAGGTTAAAACCACTGGTTTTGGCCAGGAAGGCCTGGGTTCATATCCTATCTCTGCTGGCTGCATGACCCCAGCAAATTCTTTAGCCTCTTCAGGTTCTGAACTCGTCCTCTATGTACTACAGGAAACAACTAGACCAAACCCCTAGGGTTGTGATGATTAAATGGGTTCAAGTGTGAAACACATGGAGCACAGTGCCTGGCACAGAGAGAACATTCAACACGTGGCAACTGCTATTCTTGTTTTTATGTCATCCTTACTGGTCCAACCTCATTCTAGGAGACCCACCGTGAAATCCCTGGATATCAAGTGGTAGAGATTTTGACACCTCCCCAGGCAAATGAAGGGTTAAAAAGTTCTCCATATGGATTTCAAATCTATTTCTCTTAACTGATTGTTCTTAGATCATTAGAAATACAAAAATATGACTAATACCTCTTGCCTATAATAGTTCTTCAAATATTTCTAAAAAACCAACATGGTTCCTCTGAGATTTCCCCACATTTCCAATTCTAAATATAGTTATTTTTTTCCTGTGATGTGGAAGGCAATGGGCATATTAAATATCTGGGGGGTAAATTCTCAGGTCTCTTGCTCCGTTTTCCATAGGTCTTGGCTTTAACTTCAAACTTGATCATGCCTACCTCAGCATGGAAACAACAGATCTCTCAGACAAGTCAAATTCAGCACCATGTAGGAAATAATTTTCCAAAATGGAGCCTGCTTGGTCACGAAATAGGCAGTTCAAGAGGTAATGATCTCCCTGTCAGAGGAGGTATGATATGAAAGAATAACCCTAGACCTAGAAGTATTTTAGGGGAGTTCATCTAGGATCAGTTCTGGTTTGATACTATGATAGTAACCCCCTACACATGGGTCCCTCAATCTACGTGCAGACTGCACAGAAAAATGACAGATGGCACACTCAAGTGGGGATAATTTGGGGAGAGTTTATGTACAAAAGGACTACTGCCAAAAGTAAGAAGGGTGAAGGGGGACGCAAGGTCCACTCTAATGACAGATGAGCTGTTGGCCACCATGTGTCCAGAGGGACAAGCAGAAGAAGCAGCAACCAGAACCTTGAAGGAGAGAGTTGTGAAGACAAGAGAAGACCACCGGCCCAGAAGCAGCAGCCTCTCTCAAGGGATCCAGCCGGTCCTCCCAGGGAAGAAACCAGAGACATAAACACCCTGACTACATCTTCCCCTCTCCCCCTGAACTCCGAACAGCGGCTCTCATTAGCTAAAACCAACTGGAAGCTGGAGGCATGGAGCCTATGTCAATCTAGCTCTGGAAGCAGAGAGCAGAGTGGAGAGGCAGGAATAGCGAATCTGGATCCAGGAAATGCCCCCAACAAGAGAATTTTATTTCCCTGATTTGGGCCACAATTTGAAGACAAATGTAGCCTAAAATGGAATTCTTTCTTTTTTTTCTTTCCTTTCTTTCTCTTTTTCTTTTTTTTCCATTGGCCTGAAGAAAGAAGGACCCTCGGGAAAAGGAATGTGTCTTTTGGTTAGGATGTTTTGGCCACAGGCATTGTGTTCCAGTAGTCAGAATCCTCCTGGCAGACAGAAACAACAAGGAGCGAAGCACTGGATCATTTGGGCCTTTTCTCACCATTGCCAGGCAATCAGACTGGGGGCAGGGGGAGCACCAGCGAAAGAGAAATGAGTGGGTCTACTAATGACATTTTGAAATTTTATTCTTCATTTATTATCAAAAAGGAGTGTGTTTAAAAATGTATATGTGACCTTCTTAATCATAAATTTGAAAAGATATACAGCAGATCCGTTGCCTCTCTCTGAGCTCTGCTCACACTGCACCAGCAGGAAATAAAAGGAAATCCAATAAGAAAGTTAACTTTAAAACTAGAAGTGAGTGTGTACTAGTGGCTTTGATATTTCCGTAGGGGCAGAACTCCCACCAATCTCATTCCAGTAGGGGTGAAATAATATGGAGAGAGTTGTCTTAGGCACAAATCATTTGTTTCCAAAGGAATAATAAGAAAAGGTCTCGCTGCATCTATGAAAAATGGCATTTTACAGAAATGTTTGGGTAGCTCTGAAAACCTGGATAAAAAATGAAAACTTGAGTTTCTCCAAACCATAGATATTTAAAAACTGGACAGCTAACCAAGTTGTAAAAACTCAGGAGTATGGCATGCTTAGTATTTAGCCCATGGTTGACACTATGTGTTCGTGGTAATGATGATGCTCTACATAAAAATGTAGAGACAGGTGTTTCGGCAACTGGCAAACACAGCTACAAAGTGGAAATAGAAGGAAGGGATGTAGAAGGAAATAAAACACAAAAACCATAGTTTTGGGACTTATCTTTATTCTATTAGAATTCAAAATTTAAGTATTAAAAAAACCTTTCGGTAATACAGGAAAAATCATGTTTATTCCTATAACCACAGAGCTTAACTGATTCCCTTCCCCTTTTTTCCTTAAAAGAGGGGAAACTCCAAGCCAATGAGTTGGGCATGAAAGACCCTAAGGCTATGGCTCTAGGCTTCAACTCAGCCTTATCTTCCACACACACCTCTTCTTAGGAAACACCAACTACCTATCTTCATCCCCCAACAATTCCTCAATACTCTATGTTCCCTAATGTGTCCCCATTCTTCTCCATTGGCCACCTCCTCTTCCTCCTTCAAGGCTCAGCAGTATTCAAACGTCACCTCTCCTTTGAGGTTTCTCTTGCTCCTCTAAATAGATTTGTGGTTTTCTCTTCTTGGCTGATTTATCCGCTGTACAAATATTTACTGAGCACCTACATGTACCGGTCTCTGCTAGATGTAAGATCACAGTGACAAGAGCCAGACACGACCTTGACCTTCAAAAAACTACTGGCAAAGACAGATGCTAAACATGTAAATATAGAAACAAATACGAAATCACGAAAGTGATGAAAGCCAAGGAGGAGAAATGCGTGGAGCTAGAAGCATGCCAATAGGTGATTTGAGCCCTCTCAGCAGATCAAAGAAAGCCTTGTTGCCATGTCAGCTAAGCACTTGTCTAGTTGAACTGAAGTGATTCAACTCTCCCACCCACGAGGGCAAGAACCTCTTGGGTGAAGGGCTTTTGACTTCTTGCACCTACTCCAATTTCTTGCTAAGTGTCTGGCACATAGCCAGTGCTCAATAAATTTGTTGTGCAAATTTATATTTAAAAGTCTACAATTTGAAGTGCAGCAAAAATTGCCATCCTACTCCAACTGCAAACTATAACCACTTTAAAAAAAGATACATACAAGGAATGAGGAAGAAAAACCTGCACAAAATTAGTTTGTAACCTGAAATATTTCTACTTATGAATAGTTTTGCCCAACAACTTAGCATTTTCTTCCGGTGGTTGTCATAAATTCTTGTGATGTTTGCAGAATTAATGGAATGTTTACAGAAGTCAGAATTTTTTTTCACTTAAAGCCCATGGAATAGCCATAGCTACAGAATGTTTTTAAAAAAAATCACATAAAATGGTTACATGATAAATAGGATAGTCACATAACTCATGGAATCTTCAGATCCTTCAAGACCCAAGTACTTCTGACTTCTGAAACTTGGAATTTTTTCTCTAACTGTTCTGAGATTCTTGCCAACTGGGTCACAAAATTTCACCAGCAGGGGGTACCAAAAGCTGGTAAAAAGAGAACATGCATAAACCTATCTATTCCTCTGCAGGGACATTTCTGGAGCTGAAGAATGTTTTAAGACCTAGCAATCCAAAGTTTACTGTTTCTGACAGGTGGGGACAATGTGATGTGACCATAACTCTTGGCATTCTTTCTTCTAACAGATCACTCTGAGGTCTTTCTGACCTTTGCTTGTTAGCTGAGTGAGGGTAGGTGGCAGGGGATATGCCCATGACGGACCGTGAATCCTATGATTTATTCTGAGCACCACTCTTTATAAGGGACAGTGTCAGGTGGAATGGCTCAAAAGAGAGGAATGCAAGGCTGTGAAAGGTTCTGAAATCATTTTGAGAGAAGGAACATCTGAAACAATGGGGATTATTTCTCAAGGAGAGGGAATATTCAGGAATGCTCTCTTCACACATCTGATGTCTGGCTCTGTTGTGGCCCCAGGGGCAAAATTAGAAAAGAGGCTGGCTTGACACAAGGAAGAAAGAACAAAGTAGAAGTACTTGGGTCTCTTTTGGAAGTGCCTAATACCTGACTGTCCTTCCCATTTCTTCTTCCTTGGTAATCTTCTCTACATCTTTTATATCCCAACTCAAATGTCCCCTACTTTTAAGGAAGTCTTTGTCTCCTTCCCAAAGTTAGTAGTTTCTTCCTCTTTGCTCATTGATTTGTTGGAAAAATATTTAATGAGCACCTACTTTGTACCAGTAGCTCTTAAAAGAGACCATGATGTAAAAAGCCAGGCATGACCCTTGCCCTGCTTAAGCTTTTGGAAGAAAGAAGCACCCCATCCCTGGAAAAGTTCAAGTAGAGACTGAAAAGCGACTTAGAAAAGAGGTGGTAGGGAATTCCACCATCTGGATTCTGCAAAACCCTTGAATCTGTTCTGGGCTGGGAACAGGGGGCTCCAGCCAACTCGGGGAGAGTGTCGGGGGTTCCACCTAGGGTTTTTCCCTACATGTGAAGAGCTATGCCCGTGCTCCTGGGAGACATGGATAAGGCACTCTTTCTTTTCCCCCCAGGGATCTTCCTCTGACCCATCCTCTGTTGGTATCTCTGGATAGATGTTCTGGGAAGCCACATAGATTGGAACATTGGAGCCAGAGAGAGATCCTCAGCCCATAGGAGGTGGACAAAGAAAACACAGAGCTGAGACTCTACTCCTATTAAAAACTGGCACTGTACCCTTTGAAGCCAGGGTGCTTCTGTGGTGGTACGATTGGATCTTTAAAGTTATGCATCAGAACTATAAGGGAACTGTACCATCCTCTCATTTTATTCAAGAAGAAACAGGCCCAGACAGAGGAGGGGCTTAGCCAAGGCACATGGCACGATGGCAGAAGCCACGGGACCCAATCCCTGCTTTCTACCTGCCAGCGCAGAACCACCTGTTCTAACAATCCTCCACCTCTCTTTTCGGAATGAAATTAGAAGTGCAAATTCAGTCCACGGTATACATGGTTCTAGTCCCTTGTGAATGCAGCAAAACCTCATTATTCCAAACCTCGCTAACTCAGAATTACTGTAATTGAGGCAGGGGCTAGGCTATACCACATCAGAGTCGATAGCGTAAATGAGGCTATGGATATGTGCAGGATTTAAAGGAGAACACACCACTTTCTCTTAGGAGGCAGAATGGCAAAGCAGTTAACACACTGGCTTTGGTGCCAGACAGCCTGGCATCAAAACCTGGCTCCATCTCAGACTAGCTGTGTGAGCTCTTGCAAGTTACTCATCCCTCTGCATGTCAATTTCCTCCGGTCTAAAAAGAAGGTACAATAGTACTTTCCCAGAAGGTGGTTGTGAAAATGAAATGGTATGTGGCTAGCAAAGCATTTTTCCTAGTGCATGGTACACAGTAAGCACTCAATACATGCTCTCTGGTAATCCTTTAAATATAGGAAACAGCCACATTAATTTAAATTGCCTCATTATTTATTAAATATGAATCTTCTAAAGTGGATGCCCTGAAGAATGCCTTTTCTCTAAAAACATCCTTTGATGTATTCTAGAGACACACTTCTCAACCTTGGCTGCACAAATCATTTGGGGAGCTTTAAAAATTACCAATGAGCTTCTAGTTTAATTGGTCTGGGGTACAGCCTGGGCATGTGGGTTTTCAGAAGCTCTCCAGGTGATTATAATGTGCCACCAAGCTTGAGCACCACCGATGTAGAACAGTGTTGTCTCTGGACCAGCAACATCAGTTTTACCTGGGAACATATTAGAAATGCAATTTCTTTGGCCCCACCCCTGACCTACTAAATCAGAAACTCTGGATGATTAATAATCTCTCCACACAAGCTGAAGTTTGAGGACCCTGATGTTGAGAACCCACTCCTCAGCTGGTCTGAATCAGTGAAGAGTCCCTATCATGTTTCACCTGTGAAAGTGGAGGACCAAGAGGTAGGAGATCTGGGTGCCAGCTCTAGGTCTCCCGATCCCTTATTGAGTTACCAGGGACACACCCTTTCCCCTTTCTGGGCATTGATTTCACTACAGGGGGTAGTTGGCATCTTAGAATCAAGGCAAGAACAGATACTTTTTAAATGACTGTTTTTGGTTGCATTGTGTCCCCTCCTAAAGATATTGAAATCCTAACCTCTGGTACCTGAAATGTGACCTTCTTTGGAAACAGGGTCTTTAGAGATGGAATCAAGTTAAGATGAAGTCATTAGGGTGGGCCCTACTCCAAAAGGTCTGGTATCCTTACAAGAAGGAAATTTGGATGGAGACATGAAGGGAGAAGGCATGTGAGGACAGAAGTAGAGAATGGAGGGAGGTAGCTGGAAGCCAAGAGTTGCCAGTAGCTACCAGAAACCAGGAAGAGGCAAGGAAGGACTCTACTCAGAGTTCTAGAGGGAGAATGACCCTGCCAACATTTTAATTTTACACTTCTACCCTCTGGAACTGTAAGAGAATAAATCTGGTTGTTTTCAGCCCTCCAGTTGGTGGTACTTTGTTATGAAGCCCTAGGAAATGAATAACAATTCCATGAAACAATAAATCCCAAATTTATTTCATTTCTTTAATAAACACATATATAGCACTTATTCCACACTAGGCACTATTAAGGCTATCACAAACACAGTGTATTAACTCCTTTAATTCTTCCAATTACTGTATGAGATTGGGAGTATTACATCCCTATTTCACAGATGAGATAGGGAGGCAGAGAGAGTGGAAGTAACTCACTGAAAGTCCACCCAGGCTTTAAGAGATGTAGCTGGGGTTCAAACTCAGGCAGTCGGGCTTCTGAATGGTTCTCTAAGGTTCCTTGTTATGTCATGCTCGGCCAAGGACCTACACATATCCACCTTCATCCCAAAGCTTTCTCAGCTGGCTCTCTTCCTTTCCAGGCAAACACACACTCACACACATATGTACACACATCGAGGCAGAAAGCTCACACTCACACCCACTCACAACCAGTCTGCTCAAGACCTCTGTGGGGTACCCATTCTGGAAAGTAGCTTGTTCCTCTCCAATCGCATCACCCTAGCCTGGGGCTTCTGTGTGTTTCCACCAGAATGGCAAGGTTATAGAAATAACTGCAGCACATCCCACCACAATTTGAAAGGCCAAAGGACCCCAGCCACCACCTGTCACCTCCATCTTTCTGCTGTCTTGCTCTCCATGTCTATGCCTCTATCTGTCTGCTTCTGCTTCTCTCTTCTGGATGTGGCTGCCCCCCTCTCCTTCTTGCCCGGGTTGGCTCTCTTCTGTATCATGTTCTTTCCACCAAGGACAGAGTCAGACTCAGTCTGACCATCCTCTAGAGGGCTGGCAAGGGAACCAGTGCAGCAGAAGGCCTAAGACAGGTGCCAGGCCCTCCTCCTATGACCACATCGCCACACTACCCCTTGGACCCTGAAGCAGAGCCCAGAGGGAATAGCACGGGCTCTGGAACCAGACTGCCTGGGTTCAAGTCCCAGCTCCACTATTTACTAGCTATGTGCCTTGGAAAATTACTTAACTTCTTTATAACTCAATTTCCTCATCTTTAAAATAGGGATTAATTATAGTGAATTCTATGACAACCGTTTGCAATAGATACTGACTTACAAATACTAAAGCACTTACAATAGGATCTGTCACCTACCAAATAAGCTCTCTAAAAGTGTTTGTTAAATAATAAGCAATGAGAAGGGAGTAATGCCTCACAGGAAAGCGAGGGCAGAATCTCTGATTGAGGCAGTAGCAAGTGCCCAGAATGCTTTCAGGCCACTGAACTCAGAACCCCTGGGCGAAGCAAATAGCCCTCTGTTCTCAAGGCTGTGGAAATGGACTTTGGCTCCAGACTAACCTGGTTCTAACCAGCTGTGTAATCATAATTGTGTCTCCATTTCTGAGACTATGAGACTCAGTTTCCTTCTCTGTAAAATGGTATTTGATAAGCTCTTGACTGCACAGTTACTGTGATGATTAGATTCTTACAATAATAAGTGTAATGCCCATTTAGAATTTTTAAAATGAATAAACATTTAAAATGTGTTCCCCCTAAGCAGGAAATTCCATATCTGTGATTTCATCCCCCTGAAAAACATGCTAAAACAATAGGATGAACAATAATACTGTCAAAAAATAAAATAATAATAATAAAAAGAGATAAGAAGTGTAAATTCCCTAGCATGATATTTGGCATATAAAAGACACTCCGCAAATGCCAGTGATTTTTCTCTCCCTTCTTCACACTAGCAGTCTGCATGCTTTTTTCCTGATTTTACCTTAATTTTGTGTTTGACCTGCTCCCTGAGACGAGCACTCCAGGGAACGAAGTTAACGACTTTTTCTCCCCTGCCCTCCGTGCTCCACCCATACCTTGCTCATATGACCACAAACCAAGCCAGACACTTGGGTAGATGTTTTTCTCCCAATCACTCTCTGACCCTCAGTTTCAGGTCATTACAGG